GTGAGTGGGTGAATGAGTGAGTGAGAGTGTGTGTGAGAGTGTGAGAGTGAGTGAGTGTGTGTGTGTGTGTGTGTGTGTGTGTGTGTGTGTGTGTGTGTGTGTGTGTGTGTGTGTGTGTGTGTGTGTTGGTGAGTGAGTGTGTGTGTGTGCTGGTGAGTGAATGAGTGAGTGAGTGAGTGAGTGAGTGAGTGTGTTGGTGAGTGAGTGAGTATGTGCGAGTGTGTTGGTGAGTGAGTGAGTATGTGTGAGTGTGTTGGTGAGTGAGTGAGTATGTGTGTGTGTGTTGGTGAGTGAGTGAGTGTGTGTGTTGGTGAGTGAGTGAGTGTGTGTGAGTGTGTGTTGGTGAGTGAGTGAGTGAGAGAGTGTGAGTGTGTGTGTGTGTGTGTGTGTGTGTGTGTGTGTGTGTGTGTGTGTGTGTGTGTGTGTGTGTGTGTGTGTGTGTGTGAGTGAGTGAGTGAGTGAGTGAGTGAGTGAGTGAGTGAGTGAGTGAGTGAGTGAGTGAGTGAGTGAGTGTGTGTGTGTGTGTTTAGGCCTAATCTAATAAAGGTCTGCATCCAGTAAGTTACAAACTTCCCTCACCTGACGCAATAATGGAAGTAGGTGCCAAGTGACCCACTGAAGGTGCTTTACTGCACAAGACAGAGCCGTGAATTGTCAGGCTAAATTAACCCCAATAATAGTAGCATCAGAATCGGTATTAGCCATGCTAAAAAAAAAAGGCTGATGACATACTGCTATGGAACCAGCTGACCAATGTTTCATTTAGCCTGATCAAGATACAGCACAAAATCACATGAACCAAATATAACTAATAGGATAGGAAGCCATTTGTTCATACATTTTAGCTTTACATTTTTACAAGATTTGCTAGAATACAGAGTGGACTGAGGAGAAAAAAAAAAAAAAAATAAATAAATAAATAAATAAATAAATATATAACATAAAATCAAGGAAAGGTTCTGCACTGTAGCCTGTGACTAGGAGAACATGTGAGAGGTATGGACAACAAGACGAGGAAAATCGCCAATGCCCTTTGAGCAGCTGTTAGCTTCTTCCGAGTTGGACACTTGCATTCTCTCAGCAGTGTTTGATACTATAGATAAGCTTCCATTACAAGGGGGTGAAATAATGAAACAAATATCAACCTAGACTCTTAACACGAAAATTAGACAGCTATTGAAAAATTGTGAGTCACACAATCCAGTCACTGAGTATTTGTGTATTTGTGTGTGTAGGTGTGGGTGTGAATGCATGCATTTGGATGCATGGGTGTATACATGTGTGAATCCATGTGCTCTTTTGCATGTATATGCATGTGCATGTACTTATATGAGTGTGCACATGTGCACAAGTGCATGAATGCACACATTTATGCATAAGCATATGAATATCCATGTATATGTGTATTAATGTGCACATATGTGTGCACATTATTATATGGGAGTGAGTGAGTATGTGTGTGTGTGTTGTGTGTGTGTGAGTGAGTGAGTGAGTGTGTGTGTTTAGGCCTAATCTAATAGAAAGGTCTGCATCCAGTAAGTTACAAACTTCCCTCACCTGACGCAATAATGGAAGTAGGTGCCAAGTGACCCACTGAAGGTGCTTTACTGCACAAGACAGAGCCGTGAATTGTCAGGCTAAATTAACCCCAATAATAGTAGCATCAGAATCGGTATTGGCCATGCTAAAAAAAAAAGGCTGATGACATACTGCTATGGAACCAGCTGACCAATGTTTCATTTAGCCTGATCAAGATACAGCACAAAATCACATGAACCAAATATAACTAATAGGATAGGAAGCCATTTGTTCATACATTTTAGCTTTACATTTTTACAAGATTTGCTAGAATACAGAGTGGACTGAGGAGAAAAAAAAAAATAAATAATAAATAAATAAATAAATAAATATATAACATAAAATCAAGGAAAGGTTCTGCACTGTAGCCTGTGACTAGGAGAACATGTGAGAGGTATGGACAACAAGACGAGGAAAATCGCCAATGCCCTTTGAGCAGCTGTTAGCTTCTTCCGAGTTGGACACTTGCATTCTCTCAGCAGTGTTTGATACTATAGATAAGCTTCCATTACAAGGGGGTGAAATAATGAAACAAATATCAACCTAGACTCTTAACACGAAAATTAGACAGCTATTGAAAAATTGTGAGTCACACAATCCAGTCACTGAGTATTTGTGTATTTGTGTGTGTAGGTGTGGGTGTGAATGCATGCATTTGGATGCATGGGTGTATACATGTGTGAATCCATGTGCTCTTTTGCATGTATATGCATGTGCATGTACTTATATGAGTGTGCACATGTGCACAAGTGCATGAATGCACACATTTATGCATAAGCATATGAATATCCATGTATATGTGTATTAATGTGCACATATGTGTGCACATTATTATATGGGAGTGAGTGAGTAAATATGCATTAACAGAAGACAAAATCATCCATCAATTCATGAAGTCTCTCACTTTTTCCTCCTCTATTCATATAAACCAAATTTCTTGAACATTTGAATACAGACTGACAGACTCAGTATCAAACTACTATTAATTGAAAATTGCACTTAAATCATCACTCTTCCAATTTTCTTAAATTATGACTTCCTCAGCACATCAAAAAAGGGGCGAACTTTCACTCCAGAGGTATGTACGTACATTGCTTTGAATCTCTAGCAACAGATACTATCAGCATAATTTTTCTTTAACACATCCCTCCATAGGTTGGCATATCCTTACTGCACGCAAACTAGGTTTCATTTTTCAACTGAACGAATTGTCAGTGGAACACAAGCCTCTTTTTGGTCACGACTGTGAAGGTAAATGAAAACTTGTTAATTTGGCTGAACCTTACTTTAAATAAATGATACACTGGCTTTCTTCATTCAAAAATTATCGTCTAATAATGTACATCAAAAATGTCAAGGAACCAAGGGAGGAAGGGAGATAAACGGAGAGAAAAAGTAAAAAGAAGAAAAAAGGAAGAAGTCTTTTGAAACACTCTGACACTACTGGAAACTTGGCGGAAATTTTGATATGAAAGTGATTAATTTAAATAAATAAATTACAATGTAATGATCAGACAACACATACATAGGAGGAGGGGAAAAAAAGAAAAAGAAAAAAAAAAGGGGGAAGTTGGAGTGAGGGGGAGGGCAATACCTCACTTCCTCTGTAAAAAAAAAAAAATAATAATAAAATAAAATAAAATAAAATAATAATAATAGTAATAATAGTAATGATCATCTATACCACATATTGACCTTTAAAAATTCTTAAGTGTAAAATCTCTAATCTTAATATATTTAACATAGGATGTCTTTATGTCTGTACTTTTATAAAACAAATGCCACTTATGGATAGTGGAAGATTACAAATGCCACACTTGTCATTTTCTCTTGCAGTATGTAAATGTTTTTATGCAATTATCCAAACCAGCTTTAATTCATATACATGTACATATATATATATATATATATATATATATATATATATATATATATATATATATATATATATATATATATATATATACATCACACACACACACACACACACACACACACACACACACACACACACATATACACATATACACATATACACACATACACACAAATATACACACACACACACACACATATACACACACACACATATACACACACACACACACACATATATACACACACACACACACACATATACACACACACACACACACACACATATACACATATACACATATACACACACACACATATTCACACACACACACACACACACACACACACACACACACATATTCACACACACACACACACATATTCACACACACACACACGCACACATATTCACACACACACACACACACACATATTCACACACACACACACATTATATTTATATATATTTATATATATATATATATATATATATATATATATATATATATATATATATATATATATATATATATATATATATATATATATAAGAATGGACTGATGATAATTCTATAAATGAAATGAAATCATTTGTTCATACTGCAGGGTTCAATGTTAGGTGTTCATTACTAAGTCTCAAGGTCTTGTTTATATTTTCTTTTGGAACAACTAATTTTCTTTAGTCCTTCGCTGATGGTTTAATACAGAAAGAATAAATGTAACAAAAAAAAAAAAATAAACGTCATTTTCTCACTGCTATTTTCACAATCTTTCCCATCCTCCTTTCATCTCTCTCATTCCATTTCTCCCTTCTCTCTCTATTGCTCTCATTTTTCTCCGTTTCTTTCATTATCTCTCTCTTCTTAAGCATGCAGAAACAATTGAAGTTACATAACACTGACATCCTAGTATAATGACCCTGCTATATTTATACTTTTTTTTTCATCTTTTTTTCTCCTTTTTATTACAAGACTACGAAATAAAGCCGCAACCAGCCAGAGGGGTTGGGGTGGGGAACAGGGGGGAGGGGGGAGGAGGAAGAAGAGAGGAAGGAGGAGGAGGAGGAGGAGGAGGAGGAGGAGGAGGAGGAGGAGGAGGAAGAAGAAGAGGGGAAGGAGGAGGAGGAAGAAGAGGGGAAGGAGGAGGAGGAGGAGGAGGGAGAAGTGAAGGGGAAGGAGAAGCAGGTGAACAAGAAGAAGAAGAAGAAGAAGGAGGAGGAGAAAGGGAGAAAAGGGGATGATGGAAATGATAATGACAATGATGATAAGGATTATAATGACTTCACCGAGAACAGCACTGGGAAGGGAAAAGGGGTGGAACGGGAGGGCGGAGGACAGGGGAAGGGGAGAGGGGTGGAATGGCTGGCAGGGGGTGGGGGGGGGAGGGCGTGGGACAGGGGAAGGGGAGAGGAATCCACGAAAAAATAAAAAAATAAAAAATAAAAAATAAAACACCACAGAGAGGCGCGTCAACCCGGCACCATCCATCACCAGAGCGGATTAGGGGTTCTGGTCAGCCACAACAACCATGTATCACGTCTTTACCTCTTGCTTCACCTTCACCGGAGACATATCTTTCTTGGGATCAAAAGATTTTCCTCCTCCATTCTCCAATGTCTCTAGTTTAACCTTCACATCTTCTTCTGCTTCGGACTGCAAACATTTACAGAGGGTTTAGATTACTTTCTTCACACACATCTGCTTGGCTCAATTCAAACACTTTAAACTAAACTCTTTGACATTCACAGAAGCTGCTACGTAGACACATTCAAAATCATAATAAATAAATAAATAATAAATGCATGTGTGTGTGAATGAATGTATCTACATATGTATGTACGTATGTATGTATGTATGTATGTATGTATGTATGTATGTGTGTGCATGTGTGTGCGTATGTGCATGTGTGTGTATGTGCATGTGTGTGTGTGTGTATGTGCATGTGTGTGTGTATGTGCATATGTGTGTGTATGTGCATATGTGTGTGTGTATGTGCATATGCATATGTGTGTACATATGTGTATGTGTATGTGCATGTGTGTGTATGTATGTGCATATATGTGCATATATATGTGTGTGTGTGTGTGTGTGTGTGTGTGTGTGTGTGTGTGTGTGTGTGTGTGTGTGTGTGTGTGTGTGTGTGTGTGTGTGTGCGCGTGCGCGCATGTAAAAGTATGTATATGCATAGGTGAGTAGGTATGTGTACTTTCATGTTTGTCATATCCACAAATAGGCAGCTTTCAAATAATCTCTTATCTAAATATTCATAAAATGCTTAAATCTATATACAGTACTTAAATATATGTGCACTTATATATTTATATATAAATAATTTTGTGAATGAGAGCCTTTGTATGCACCTGTACTTCAGTGTATGCATATGCAAAGGTATGTGCATGTACAAGTGCATATATGCACAGGCTTGAGTACTTGTGTTTGCCCATGTGCTAATATGCATGTGCACTTGGATGTGCACTTGGATGTGCATGTACATATGTATGTACATATGTATGTATGTATGTGTGTGTGTGTGTGTGTGTGTGTGTGTGTGTGTGTGTGTGTGTGTGTGTGTGTGTGTGTGTGTGTGTGTGTGTGTGTGTGCGCGTGCGTGCGTGCGTGTGCATGTGCGTGTGCGTGTGCGGGCATGTGTGTATGTATTTGGGTGTGTGTATTTGGGTATGTTTGCATGTGCAAGTGTATGTGCAGGTGTGTGAATATGCATGTGTGCAGGTGAATGCATATACATGTGTGCTTTTGTATATATGTACATGTGTATGTTTATGTGCATGCATGTATGTGTGCAGTCTGTCAATGATTGTCTGACACTCCATGTCAAGTGAATGATGACCTTTGTTTGTAATTACATAAATATTAATATATAGACCTCTATTACCTAAATCTAAACTATATTCATGCTTGCATTTATCTAGAAAAATAAAAACCTTAGTCTATATACAACTAAAATCTTAAACTAACAGCACTGGCATAGCCAAAATATAAGAGGTAGCAATAGCAACAGAGGTCATAGCAATAATAATAATAAAAATAATAACAATGATAATGATAATAATGATAATAATAATAATAATAGTATAGCAGAAACATTAGTAGTAGCAGTTGTTGGTATTAGTAATGCTAATAGCAGTAGTAACAGTAGTAATAATGATAGTTGTAATCATAACAATGATACAATGATAGTACTGGTAGTAAGAATACCAACATAGGCATTCCTGGTAAATAGAGTTATTAGTAGTGTTGTAGAGGTTCCAGTGATGGATGTAGTAGTACCAGTAGTAGTACTAAAAGCAAAAGTATATTGACACACACGCATGACAGCAGTTGTTGTTGAACAACATAATCAAACCAATCACACTGGCATTTATTCTTGTCAAAAGACACTGGGCCTATATGCCAAGGAGGGGACTTGGCTTTATGTTGTGCACTAAACAGCCAAAATCACAGCTGTGTGAGGAGGAGGAGGGGAAGAAAGAGGAGGAAGAAGAAGAGGGGAAGGAGAAGGAGGAGAAGGAGGAGAAGGAGGAGAAGGAGGAGAAGGAGGAGAAGGAGGAGAAGGAGGAGAAGGAGGAGAGGAGGAGGAGGAGGAGGAGGAGGAGGAGGAGGAGGAGGAGGAGGAGGAGGCAGAGGAGGAGGAGGAAGAAGAGGGGAAGGAGGAGGAGGAGGAGGAGGAGGAGGAGGAGAAAGAAGAGGAGAAGGAATAGGAGGAGGAGGAGGAGGAGGAGGAGGAGGAGGAGGAGGAGAAAGAAGAGGAGAAGGAGTAGAATGGAGGAGGAGGGGGAGGGGAAGGAGGAGGAGGAGGAGGAGGAGGAGGAGGGAGGAGGAGAAGCAGGAGAACAAGAAGAAAAAGGAGGAGGAGAAGCAGGTGAAGCTGAAGGAGGAGGAGGTGAGGAAGAAGAAAGAGGAGGTGAGGAAGAAAAAGCAGGAGGAGGAGGAGGAGGAGGAGGAGGAGGAGGAGGAGGTGAAGAAGGAGGAGGAGGAGAAGCAGGTGAAGGAGAGGAGGGGAAGAAAGAGGAGGAAGAAGAAGAGGGGAAGGAGAAGGAGGAGGAGGAGGAGGAGGAGGAGGAAGACGAAGAGGGGAAGGAGGAGGAGGAGGAGGAGAAAGAAGAGGAGGAGGAGGAGAAAGAAGAGGAGAAGGAGGAGAAAGAAGAGGAGAAGGAGGAGGAGAAAGAAGAGGAGGAGGAGGAGAAAGAAGAGGAGGAGAAGGAGGAGGAGGAGGAGGAGGAGGAGGAGGAGGAGAAAGAAGAGGAGAAGGAGGAGGAGGAGAAAGAAGAGGAGAAGGAGGAGGAGGAGAAAGAAGAGGAGAAGGAGGAGGAGGAGAAAGAAGAGGAGAAGGAGGAGGAGGAGAAAGAAGAGGAGGAGAAGGAGGAGGAGAAAGAAGAGGAGGAGGAGGAGGAGGAGGAGGAGGAGGAGGAGAAAGAAGAGGAGAAGGAGAAGGAGAAGGAGGAGGAGGAGAAGGAGGAAGAGGAGGAGGAAGAGGAGGAGAAGCAGGTGAAGGAGAAGCATGTGAACAAGAAGAAAAAGGAGGAGGAGGAGAAGCAGGTGAAGCTGAAGGAGGAGGAGGTGAGGAAGAAGGAGGAGAAGGGGGTGAAGAAGGAGGAGGAGGGGGTGAAGAAGGAGGAGGAGAGGGGGTGAAGAAGGAGGAGGAGGGGGTGAAGAAGGAGGAGGAGGGGGTGAAGAAGGAGGAGGAGGGGGTGAAGAAGGAGGAGGAGGAGGGGGTGAAGAAGAAGGAGGAGGAGAAGATGAGGAAGAAGAAGGAGGAGGAGGTGAAGAAGAAAAAGGAGGAGGAGGTGAAGAAGAAAAAGGAGAAGGAGGTAAAGAAGAAGAAGGAGGAGGGGGTGAAGAAGAAAGAGGAGGAGAAGATGAGGAAGAAGGAGGAGGAGGAGGTGAGGAAGAAAAGGAGGAGGAGGAGGAGGAGGAGGAGGAGGAGGAGAAGAAGGAGGAGGAGGAGGAGAAGCAGATGAAGAAGAAGGAGGAGAAGCAGATGAAGAAGAAGGAGGAGAAGCAGATGAAGAAGAAGGAGGAGAAGCAGATGAAGAAGAAGGAGGAGAAGCAGATGAAGAAGAAGGAGGAGGAGGAGGAGAAGCAGATGAAGAAGAAGAAGGAGGAGGAATAGAAGATGAAGAAGAAGAAGAAGAAGAGGAAGGAATAGGAAGAGGAGTAGGAGGAGGAGGAGGAGGAGGAGGAAAAGAAGAAGAAGAAGAAGAAGAAGAAGAAGTAGTGGCAGTAGTTTTGTTGTAATAACAGCAGTTCTAATAATTATAGTTGTAGTAATGATAATCCTATTACTAATATTAGCATTAGTAATGACAGCAGCAGCATTCACAATAGAAGTAATGGCAGCAGCAATAATAGCATTAGCAATGATAATAAAATAAAACTATAACTGACTTAAAATTAACAGTGGATCATTATTTACTTGCACATTCAGGGCATTCCATATTCCCTTTGGAATTAAATAAAAAGCATTTCACTCTTTCTAAAGATTAATGAACTAATTAAAAAAAAGAAACACCACTGAATCTGTGTGCAAGTAAAATGTGTCCAGTGCATGTTGCATGAAAGAATCAATATAATGCCAAATGCAAAATATATGGAAAGGTGTTAAATAATACCCACCAAGACCTGTGGAGTCTTTATATCACCTGTGTCACTCCCTGCTGTTGAGGTTCGACTGCTTGGAACCCGATTGTGCTGGAAGCAAAACCCAAATTAGAGGTCTGCCCTTATTCTGCCTCCAGGGAAGTGTCGTCTTAATTCAATAACTGCTACGGGTTTGATTATTTCAAATCCAGATCTTGAGAAATTTAGCAACAATATAATTCATCACTTCCCTTCATAGATAAGAAAAGGCTGAAATTCTACGTCACAAGAAAAAAACCTTTGAGAAAAATCCCCTCAGCATAATTTCCTCTTATGCAATTAAAATTCACTTGTTACTTACTTTGTACTCCTTATTATATCCTTCTTTAACACATTCTGGACATTCCCAGCTGTTGGGCAGATCCTCGTTGACAATACCATCTGCATCTTCATACTTTGGAACAGAAAAAGGTTGTCAATTTGGAGCAAGTCTTCTGTAGCAACTAGATAATTTATCTCAAAATAATACACAAAAATCTACTAATTATTGGAAAACCAAGCAGAGTACACAGTTCTTTTACCCCATTGGATCCAGATGCTTCAGATGCCATACTGTGGCCCAAAATATGAGTATTAGGCTTATGTGAATGGACTCTGCTGGGTGTGTGGCGTGTAGGCTTGGTGTAAATAAACACTCATGCAGCAACAAGACACTATGCCTCCCCTTTGCAAAGTTATTTTCTTTTCTTCTACATAAGCACTTTTAGATTTTATGCCACTTTTCAATATCTATATTTACGTTCCAGTCATGGCTCACATTCCACATTTATAGATAAGAATTATGTAGAAGTCCCTTCCTAAATGCCAAACGAATCTAATCACCCTCCAAGAGCTTTGTGTCCATGTGGCAAGTCTTTCTCCTCATCCCAGCCTTCAGCCAAAATGCTCACAACAGCAAGTTCATGTCACCCAGGCCAACAGCCAAATTTTCCCATGACAGCATGTTCTACTCATCTACTCTTTAGGCTAGCAAAAAATTTACTTTAATTCATTCTTAAAACCTTGGATGCAGGTGCTTCACTGCCTGTTTGTGGCCTGAAATATAGGTGTGAAATTTTCTTGAGTCGCCACTCTGACAGGTGTGTAGCTTGCATGGACAAAGCATAGTCACCCACCCCTCAAGCCAAATTCTTTTTCAGACAAGATGGTCATGCCATCCTCACTATAGTGGTTAAGATGCCCTAATACTAACTTATAATTCACCCACATATTTTCATCTTATTCTAATGAACTACCCTGCTAAATACATATAAATATACACCTATACTGAGTTTACTGAATAGCTTTCAAACAGGTAACGGGGAAATCTGATATCTTACTTATTTTGACATATTCTACCAATAATAAAAACTGGAAAATATATTCTCATGCATTTTGTTATACTATCTTACACTTGACTGCTTTAGTTGTTGTTTTTTTTTGCTACTAAGGTACCATATTTTCTTAACTTTGAATGCATTCAGACATATTTGTTGTCCGACATTAAAACTATCCTCGACACTTCTTTAAGTAAAAGAAAGAGTATTCTAACTTGCAGTGAGTGAGTGGCATACTAACCTTGTTTGACAAACACTTGAGATGTGAAATCTTGTAGCAGATGCAGCATTCAAACAGGCCACTTGGCACATTTGGAGGAGGCTTATGTGGTGGGGTCGCTATCATTCGTCCCCATCCATCAAGCTGACACTCATAGCAGACAGCAGTCACTGGGAGCATCGGCTGATGGAATAAAATTCTTTGTTACCAGAACTAGATCCAGAGTAGAAGTTTCTAAACTTCTTAAGAACATTAATTAGTCTGTAATAATATATACTGCTAGTATAAAGTAACTTACCTGGGTGCATTTCTTCATTTTGCATGTTTGCTTCATGGTGCCTGGCCCACCATACTTGACCATGTCCATGCAAAAACCACACTGTCTACAATCATCTCTTAGACAAGACTCGCAATATTTACCTGAAAGAAAAGAACACAACTTGAGTAACTTTCCAGAGCTCAATTTGAAAAAAGATCATACAGGATCCATTACTTAAAAAAGGTAAACTATGGACAAAAGAATTCCACAAAACAAGTAGATGATGGTGGATCTATAGTAAGCCTAGTTTAGGCAAGCGAGTCAGATAATAAAAGCTCAAATCTCACAAGAAAGTCAAAAGTACTAATGTATGCCAGAAAACTGCCGAATCACTTGAACACTTAAGCAGAGTAAAAGATTTGAACTAGACCTGCTAGAGCACTTACACATAAAATCTATTATATATACAAAGAAAAAGGAAAAGGAAAAAAAAAGAAAAAAGAAAGAAAGAAAAAATAAATCAAAGACAAGAGTAGATGTTTATACTTCAATCAACATTTTGACAATTCGATACCAGGTCCACCTGAATGATCATTAACCAAACGTGTGCAGGCCTTTTCCGAGGCCATGCAGTTGGCCCAAGGAGTATATCTGTAAAGCCGGCATCTTGGAATGCCACCCACACCACTGGCACTATGCCACCATGGCATCACAGTAGATGTCACCCATGTTAAAAAGGAAATAGTACATGAGTGCCATTCATCATGTATGCTACAACATCCTTATTAACAGACATGTGGGCATCTTCTCTAGTCATTTCTTCTGAGTTCTGTTGACTAGTTTAAAAAGGAACAAAACAGGTCCTTCCTATGATAAATCCCCTTATAAACAAAAAGATTGCAGGGTGAAATGAAAAATGGATTTGAAATTTTACAATCAATGCAAGCAAGCAAAGGGTTGTAGGAGGCAATCCACATACACTATACAGAATACACAAAATTTGTAACTAAAATTACAGTTGACATGAAATGTACTCATGCACTCTTGTCATCAACAGATTAAAATATTCCTTATGCACTCGTTTTATGACAATTATCATTGTTAACCAAAAGTGCCCTTATCTCAAAAATTCAATTAACCCAATGGCGCCGGGTGTACAAAAGAAAAAGAAAAAGAAAAAGAAAAAGAAAAAGAAAAAAGAAAAAAGAAAAAAGAAAAAAGAAAAAAGAAAAAAGAAAAAAGAAAAAAGAAAAAAGAAAAAAGAAAAAAGAAAAGAAAAAAAAAAAAAAAAAAAAAAAAAAAAAAAAAAAAAAAAAAAAAAAAAAAAAAAAAAACTCCACGCTTAAACAAACAAAGGCGGCGCGCCGAATTTGAGCGCGTGAGTAGGAGACATCAGCCCGAATCACTGGCTCGCCGCGCTTTGGCGCGCCGCCGGCTCATTCGGCAGCACGCCAGCTTTCGAGTGCTTTGTTTACACGCCGATCGGCGTCACCTGGCACGAAGGGGTTAAGACAAAAATTGACTGCTTTCTGATATTCCTAAATCTTTTCTGCACTGTACTTCCATTTAGCACTGAATACCTTAAACTTGTAGGCAGAATTTACAGACTTTAATGCCCACATTTCCTCACTTTTTAATTCTATGCACCGCACAACCCAACTCAACTATACTACTTTGTGTTAAAATGCATGCACAATATACTTCACAAAAAGTTTAAGGCTACTAAACCTACATCTCACTCTTCTGTGTCTAATTTTGGCAGCATTGGGAGGTAGTCTGACCACTTTGTTCTCATCAGAATTCCTTCGTCTCCTCTTGGTTGCACCGGCAGTTGGATCACTTATTGGTCGTTTCACACCAAACTTTGTTGATTCCTGCATGAAGAGCAAAATATATATTTTAAATGTGTTTTATCTATCTACATACATACATACACACACATGCATATATATACACGTCATCAAGTCTGAGTCAATCCACTGCAGGACGTAGGCCTCTCCCAATATTTTCCAATTTTGTCTGTCTTGCTTTTTTGTTTCCAAAAAAGGAAACATACATATAAATACATTTAAATATATACATATTTGTTTGAATAAACAAACATATGTACATGTGTATGTTTGTTTGTTCAACAGCCATTTATTCCATTGCAGGATCCAAGCCTCTCCCAATTCATAATTGAATGGTCATTTGGCAGTAAGTCCCTTAACTGATTGGATGCCCTTCCTAATCAATCTTGGTTCAGCGTGCTACCACTTATGCCACAGCGGCAACTTCCCCGACGACACCTGCATTTGATTTCTCAAGGCAATATGTCATTTTCTTGCCTTGAGATCAAGCTTAAGTTAATAGTCAGAGCATAGGCATTTTTTAAAACTGACATAGCAAGGAACTGAATCTGGGACCACAAGGGAATGAGGCCGGTGCTCTATCCATTTGACCATATGTATATATATATGTATAAACAAAAAACACACACATACACACACACATGCGTGTGTGTGTGCGAGTGTTTCCTGAGATAGTAACACTATTGTGAGACATTTCTTTTTTTTCTTCTAAATCCTAATATAAACTCCAATAAGGCTCTTGCCTTACACTTACCCGGGGCCACCACTCCAACACCGGCCGACTTGTTGTTGACAGTTCTGGGCTGTCATATCTGTGCTTTTCAACAACTGTGCGGACATCTCTAATTAAAGCTATGGGGTCTGTAATGAGCTCTGGCACACACTTCTTGCTTGTGGGCAGAGCATGGAGGTACATGACGATTGCTTTGAGGCCATGAAGTTCAAACTGAGTGAGGTGGATGTGCTCCTCAGGCACGTCCTCTCCTCCATCACTCTCTTCATCCTCCTGTTGCAAGAGAGGTTCATATTATCAAAAACAATATTTAACTATAACCTAGTGATATCACAATTTTTTTTTTTTTTTTACTTTTTTGGGGAAATTCTTGTTTCTCATACTGTCAATGCTATTTCCCTTATCAATATTAATATTATACCAAGATAAACAACAATAGTATCAAAAGTATCAAAAAAAAACATTGTGGATAATTCATCCTTACGGGCAATCAAATCAGGGCATTAAATGGTCAATAAATACTTCCTATCAATATACTTGCATCTCAACTATGCTCTGAATACTAAAAACACACTTACCCCTTTAACTTTATTATTATTATTGTTCTTCTTCTTGGAAGCCAAATATCTTTCATATTTCTGCTGCTCATCAGGAGGAAGAGTGAGGTGTGTGCGGCCAAGCAAAACATGGACATAGCGCTCTAAGACATACCAAAGCATCTCCGTAAAGAAAGGATATCTGAACTTCTGAGGTACCTGCAAAAGGAGAAATTGCCTTGGTAAATTGTATTCAGGAAGCACATCTTCATGTGTAAATCACTTATAATACGATAACATTACGACTGAAAAACCAACTTACATGTGTAGCGTCTTCAACCTGAGCAACACGCAGCTGTTTCTCTATGCCGAAACTGTGTAAAAAGTTCCCTCCAAACACTAGGGAATCCTCTGGGGTATACACTGCATGAATCCAACCTACATATACAGAGAAAGGTATGGAAAAATCATAAAAGTTGATTAGTCCAACAAACCGATAAAACTGTACAATATTCTACATATACAATATTCTACATGTACAATATTCTACAAAAAAAAATACAATTTTTTTTTTCTTTCTTTCTTATAAAAGTACAATATATGACAGTATTAAGATGTGAATTACCAGTGGGAATAAAAAAGGTGCTGCCTTGCTTGAGCTCTATTCGGGCACACTTCTCAACTGTATCCCCAAAGAAAATGTCACTCTGCTTCCCCGACAACACCCACTGCTCATACAGTTGCAGATTGCGTTCTGTAGGTGGTATCAGCCAGAAGATCTAGGAATAAAGAGGTTGATTCTTAGTCCACACATCAGAAGGGAGTCACCAAAACATATTAAACAAGACAAAGCCTATGTCACACAAATAATGAATGCACAAGTAAAAGAAAATTATGACAGATACAAGGCTTACCTTCCTTCCCCTCAGGACATGATACCACACTGAAGTGCCCCCAAAGTCAATGTGGAAATCTGTGTAGCATCCTCTGACAGACATTAGGCAATACTTCTGGACCTTTGGATACATCATGTCCTCCAGGACATTGGTGGCTTCTGTCTGTGCTTCCTTGAGGTGTCTAGGCCAAACTCTCTCAACCCAGTCTACTTGGCGTACCTAGAAGAGTCATTTGCTTCTTACTATAATATTGCAGGGCTTTCAATAAACAATACATACCCTAATAAATTAAAAATTGTTGAATTGTAATGATCATTTCCATTTACTATGCATGTACATACATACAGACAGACAAAGAGGAAGACAGATACATAGATGGATTAGATAAATATACAGTTTGGGTATCCACACATCAGGCAAAAACCTATGCAGAGGAAAATTCTGATGCTGATATAGCATAGCCTGCAACATACCACTGTGGGTGCCTGAACCAGTGACTCCAGCTTGGTGTGAGAGAACTCCAGGGAAATCACATTCAGCAGCTTGTCCTTGTCCTGGCTGTCAAAGTATCGCTGCCAATCTTTCATTGTCATCTCCACATTCTTCTGTGTGTTCACATCCATGACGTCAAGCATTCTCCGTGACCCTGGATTAAAAGGAGAATTATATTTCTATGTACACAAACAGAGATTGATTGACAGGGTAATTAGAATAAAAAATAAATAGAAAGGTTATTTATTCAACATCCACAGATACAGATGGGAAAAGAGATTTTAAAGAAAGTCTAGAGCTATATTCTAGTCACAAACACTAACCCTGCACTGGGCTCATGATGCAAACACCACTGGATTTATTAAGTAACTCGCAATCTGACTAGGGCTGCTAACTATGACAAAGTTCAGTTTTGTTTAGCCTCAGTTTTCTGCACTAACGTTGCTGATCAAAACAAACAATTATAAAATTAAATCTGAGACATTTTCCTCTCAGGAAGGAAAATAATTTGTGTCCAAATATGTAAAGATTACAACTACTTCAGAAGAAAGTTCACCTCAGGAATGAGGACTTGTACCTAAGGCTAGTCACAGGAACTGAAGCAAGAATGAAAACATGTGCCAACTCCTCAGCTGGTGAAACAACATACCTACACACAGTCGCACATCATTTATGGTAAAGTCTGAACTGGGTATTGTAATGCCCAACTTCGATTTGTCTTTGAAGAGTAATGGCCAATTAAATCCTTTCTCCTGGACATGAGCCAAGGTATATTCTGTAAGTATAAAATGAACAGTATTAAAATTTAGCTTGAAAAAGAAAAAGAAAAAGAAAAAAGAAAAAAAGAAAAAAAGTATTCGGCTACAGATATAATGTAAAAAGTAGACCCTAAATGAGGTATTCATATAGAAAGTAAGCCCAAAGATATTAGTATAAACACCAAAATGGAGGAATATCATAAACGCATACTTACCATGATCTGTCATGTCTTTGACAAAACACGAGTCAAATTTGTCTGTCTTAATTTTTTGTTCAAGGTCAAAGGTGTGGTGACCCTCAATCTCTTCATCTCCAAGAGCCCAGTCATCACTGTATAGCTTGCGTTCTTTGCGCTCTCG